ACACACACACACACACAAAACACATACACATGCATGCATGCATACATACATCCGTGCATACCTGCATACATGCATACATATCTGTACATACATATTTCTGTACATGCAGACACGAAGCGCATTCGGATGTGGAAGCAAGGCTTTGTCCTGGGGACTTAGGCGCCGGAAGTTCATGGACGCTTTGCTGCTGCTTGGGTCCTGGCTGGTTCGAGGTTACGGGCTGCCCATAGTTTCTTGCAGAGCTCGACCCAAAGTGTAACAGCTACGGAGCAGTCCAAGTCCAACGGATTTTTGCCGTTTGCTGTGGTCTGTCGGACCGTCCATCCATCCGTCCGTCTGTCCGTCGGTCGGTCGGTCGGTCTGTCTGTCTGTCTGTCTGTCTGTTCGTCTGCGCCCACGTGTGCGTATGTGTGCGTTGGCATGACGTACGTGCCCTCGCAGCTTGTTCTGAGCCCGCCATCAATTGTACCAGAGATCTGAAAATCACTCCTTTCTCGCGAGCTGCTCTAGTTGGAAACAGCAACACCTTGCCTGAAGCCGAACAAGGTTTGGTGGCCTGTGGCCCCTCGGCTGCAAGAGCAAGCCAGCCCAGGGTCGTCCTTCAGCCCTTCGGTTTGTACCTGTCCGTGCATTGAAACATACGAGAACAGATACACCTTCTGAAAGGCCGATAGAAAGTTGGATGTGGATCCAGTTTCGTCCTTACCCAGCAGTGCATGTCTCCAAAGTGTTCATCGTGTCACATCGTGTCTGCTTTTCTCACGAGCACTCTCCTTACAGTCTTGCAGGGCTTCAGCCATACCTCAGTTAGCCCCAAGGCCAGCATGAAGGTTCATCAGAAGACCCCGGGCAGTTACGTGTTCGTTCAAAAAGCAGGATGCGCGATTGTCCGACAAGGACCTTCCTGCACCAAAGAAGCAATGGCAACGACAGCTGCACCAAACAACCAGCTGCATGACATCGATTTCTGCATAGCTCAGGGGGCCCGGCGAACAGGCTAGCTAGTGACGTAGGTATCAAACAGCCTCCATTAGCAGAAGCTTCGGCGAGCCCTTTAGTTTGGATGATGAGTCGATGGCGCAGTGGCCAGATCTCTTGGTTGCTGCAGCTCTCGCTCCCAATTCGCAAACCTGCTGAACTTAGCATCCAACTCCGCCGAAGCCCCTGGCCTCGGACTGCTCTCCCTGCTCCAGAGTCACAAACAATCCTGAAGCCAGAACCAAGGTCCGATGGCTTCCCGCTCATGACCAAGGGCGTGGTGCTCTTCGAAAGGCAGCCCCGCAACAGTCTTTGAGGACAGCAGAGTCATGTCTCTTCTAGCGAGGTCTCGATTCGAGTTTGAGAGTGTGGCAAAGGATTCGGACTGATTCATAAAGTCACACTGCCCGAGGCAGTGTGCGATTCTTGTTGAAGATGAGGATTGTTTCAAGTGCATGACGGAGCCTCTTGAAATGGTCAGCCTCGCATCTCGAGCAGTGTGTAGTTGGAGGTTGCTCGCACTCTACCTCCCTGACCTCGCCAAGCACCTCAACGGTGGGGCACCGAGGGGCTTCTCTGGGTGACGAGGTTTAGGGCTTCGGCTTCAAAGGTGCGAGTAAGGTGCGAATCTGCGGAAGTATTGCAAGTTTCTTGGAACATCGAGACTGCCATTTCCAGCCTTGCTGAAGCTGTGTTCCCTGCTGGTGAGCATGGCACAACGGGTCATGAGGCTCCTCAACAGCCTCCTTCTTTTCCGCCTGGCACAGGGACTCGTGGGTGAAGAGCATTTCCCGCTGGTATATGTCCTCTACGCAGAAAGCGGGCAGCCGTGGGCAAGGGCGATCGTGAAGATCGCGGCCCCTTGCCCCAGCCTTTCCACAGTTGCTGGTGCCTCCCCCAACCTGCTTTTGCAAGCCGGCGCCGTGCGAGTGCGCGCCGTGGGCGGCGAAAAGATGCCCTTCAGATTTCCTGTGAAGGTCTGCGAGGTTCCTCTGCCTAAGGGGCTGTCGGCCAACAGCATCCGCTTCGGCAACAAAGTCCTGCCGAAGTTGAGCCTGTCTCCCAAACGTACAGTCCTTCTCGGCGACACTGGCTTGCGGGTGACGGCAAGGAATGACGGAACTTGCCTGGCACCCGGCCCTGACAAGCTCTACGGCATCGAACAGTGCGCACCTAACGAAACTGTGCCGTTCAACTCAAGCCTCGTGGCAGGAAGATTCCAAAGCTTGGAGGATTGGCCTTTTCAGGTCCAAGCAGAGCTTGCGGCACGTGACGAGCCAGATTTGGTGGTGCATGTTGGCGACTACTTCTACCGACAGGGCCCCTGCCCGCAGAACCAGAATTGCTCTGCGATCAACAACCATAGCTTTCCCTTGTCTCCGGGGCTGCTGGACCGCATTCACATAGCGTCTTGTAGCACAAGCGATCGCAACAGCACTTCGCGGCGGATTCCTGAGAACAGGTGAACATGCAGGTTAGATGCGGTTCTCATTGTGTGCTGCAAACCCAGACGCAGCGTGGAGCATTTTGTTGGTCGGAGTCGCGCCTGTCATTCGATTATGTCTTCTCTGACACCGATTAGACTTATGATGTGCGCATGGTCGTGGAACGAATTTGGAAAGCATGTGATGCATGCGGCACAAGCATGAGAAGGCAGCTGCGCTGGCTGACAGAACCATCAGCATGTGAAGTAGAGTGCGAGCTAGGAAGTGTGTATGAGGCTTGTCTGGATGCCAGGATATTCTAGGCCCTCTGTCTGCCACATGCTCAATCCCAGATCCAAGAATCATTCCGTGCCTAAAACTTTGACCAGTCGAGGCTTTGGGGTGACAACTGGAACGGCTGGTACGCAGATTTCTTCCAGCCCAGCCTAAGCCTGTTGTCAGCCGCTCCGTGGATTTTCCTTCGGGGCAACCACGAGCGGTGTGGACGGGGTGGCGTCTGAGCTGCTCTCGAGAGTTATGCATGAAGTTATTTGTACCCGCGGCATGCGCGTGCAAACCTCAAAACGACCAAAGCTGACAGATGCCGACAGCAACCTAGGCAATGGTTTTTTTCTGCTGCTGGACCCCCGGCCCTATCCGGAGGTGATTGGTGGGGAGTACTGCGAGGACCCTGACCTTGCTGTAGCACAGCTTCAGGTAGTCCTAGTGAACGAAGCTTTTAAGAGTCTTCATATTCGAAGAACCTAGAGCAGGACTGGGGCTGTGAATATGGAAGTCAGAGTCAGGGTGCTACGACGGCTGAAGTCTTCTCAGGACTACACAGATCCCTATGCCATTACTTTTGCCGACACGCAGTTTGTTATCCTGGACACCGCCATGGTTGATGATGTCAAAACAGATGACAAGTGTCCCGAAAATCCCGCTGGAAGCATCGGAACATTGAGCCGTTTGGATGATCCGAATCAGAGTCTGACAAAGGCTGAGATTCTGGAGCAGGTAGAGATCTACCGCCATCATTTTGAGGAGTCGGAGAAGCTGAGGACGCCGGGGAAGACACACTTCTTAGTCAGCCACCATCCCATCTTTGGCTTCGTTTGCCACCAGGGCAAGTTCTTCGCCATTGAGTGGACATTGCAGCAGGTACTTTGCAAGATTTTGCAAGCTTTCCGACTGTAACCTGCGATCCTGAGTTCCATCGTCTAGACGACACCAGTCTCGGGCAGAACTGCTACCCGTTACCTCAATCCTCCCCGAGCTCTCTCCGCCCTGCAGGCGCTCAGCAACAACACCTACAAGGCCGCGTGAAATGCCTGCTATAAGAACAACCGCCAAGAACCAGAAGATACCAGGAGCTAGCCCGAACTGCCAGGAAAAACACCGCTTCGAACACAGCCGGAGCCTCCAACCCCGAACCGTCCTCAGTCGCTCATTCCTCAAGATGCTAAAACCCGGAGCTTGTTGACCTGCCAGGACATCTCCGCCTCCATCCATGGCCACGTCCACATGTTCCAAGCCTTCAAAGTCGATGGATTGCCCTTGCATCTGAGCCACAGCCGCGCCATCAGAAGTGGGAGACGAGGGATGAGAGCTTAGGGTCTCTAGGGGGAGATTGGATGCGCTTTCTTGAAAGCTTCGTGCTGGCTACATATGTCTTCGGTGTATTTTTCCGGATTTTTCCGGTTTTGGATCGCAATGATGCTAGCTTCAAGGTCTTGAGAAAGGCATCCTTACTGTGCAGGCACCCTGTTAAATCGAGGATTGTGGGCAACGGCGGAAGCAGGCTGCAGCCCTATCTCGGCGAGTCTCAGGGGCCGGTGGGCTTGGACCTGGTGCTGCCGCCGCCATATGAGGGTGCCCGGCTTGCGACTTCCGCATACTGCAACAGCACCTTTGGGTACAACCTCATGGATGCAGACCTCAATGACTCCATGTCTTTATGCGTGCTTTTTGTTTGTTCTTTGTAGGTTTATGTTGTTCCAGCACACATGCTGCTGGCAATAGTACCAGATGTTTCAGCACTCGCACACGTGGTAGACGGTAGATGTAGTGTTGTCAAGTTGTTGTTCTGATTCTAGTTGTTCTTGTTGTTATTCGTGTGGTTGAAGTTGTTGGGCCGTTGTGCTTGCTGCTGGTGCTGGTGCTGGTGGTGCGGGTTGCCCGTGGTGTTGAGATGGCATGGCGTCCTCTATGCCCAGGCTTCTCCTAAAGTGTAGCGGCATAGCACCAACGCCCGAGAGCAGAGGACGGCTTCTTCTTCAAGGCCCTGCGCCTGGAAGGACCAGGACGTGCCGAGAAGCGGGGAGGCCCTGTGGATGCCGAGGAGCCGGCAAACCCGACAGAGCAGAGCCTTTTTTAAAAATTCTTTAGACCGACTCCCAAGGGTACCAAGCCCTGCTAATAGCCTGGACGTGCAGGAGCTGATGTGGAACACCACCATTCCGTCCTGGGCTGCGTTGAGCAAATCTCGGTCTCTTCGCGCACTCGACTCGCCAATCCTGATCTGAGCGAAGAGGCCCCCAGCTGGTGGTGCATTTGCAGGTCCTTTATTTATTTTGCGCGCTCTTTAGCCTCTGGGCGACGCTTGAGGTGCGACCTTTAAAGCAGGGTTCCGCACCTTTCATGTGAAGAGCTCACTGGATGGGAGCGGCTGTACAGTGCAAGAATGTCAACACCCGCTCTCTGCGACTTGCAGAGTCTACTGTTGAGATCGGTGCAGACCTTGTGAGTGGCAGAAGGCATGGCCGCGCCGCAGCACCCGAAGCTGTTGGAGCGTGGGAAGAGACAAGACTGTGCGTATCGACTTCTTCGAAGCTGCACTGTCCGTTCTGAACCGAAGCTCTTGAGGAGTGCATCGACCTCGACAACCCCAAAGGTCACAAAGCTTCCCCAAAGAGCTTCGTCCTTCACCCATACTGATTTTGCCCGGGGGATATCCCGATGATGAAAACATTCTCGGTGTGGTGCTGCTGCTGCTGCTGCTGCTGCTGCTGCTGCTGCTGCTGCTGCTGCTGACGCTGATGCTGTTGTTGATAATGGTGGTGATGGACGGTGATGTCGCCGGTGATACATAGCTGGTTGCGATGATGTTCATGATGATGACGACGACGATGATGAGCATGATAATGAGGAGGAGGTGGATGATGAGGAGGATCAGGAGGAGGAGGAGGAGGAGGATTAGGATGATTAGGAGGAAGAAGGAGGAGGACACTGACGACGAACAGGACGACGAAGACGATGCTGGTGCATGGAGTAGTGAGTGTCATGGTCAGTCATCAACACCACCAACATTGTCACCAGTAGTAATATTCCTGTGTCTCTAGATCATCGGGTGTAATTGCTGCCAGCATGACAATCAACAGCATCAGCAGTTTCAGTCTCAACACCATTGATAGCCCCATCGCCATCAACATCATCAGAACCCTTGTCATCACGACGATCTTTGCCGCAAATTGCCGCTGTCGCTTTCACAGCCTCAAATCACCATCACCATCACCTTCATCATCGCAACATCCTCATCGTGTCACCTTGTGCGCTAGCACTGGATGTTACCCTATTAAACTTCGGTTGGACCGTTCTGCTAACTGCTTGTTTGAAGGCTTTGGATTCGTTGAACTGCCCCTCCCCTCACCCCCCCCCACGAGGCTGTGGTGTGTTGACTCTCAGCTATGTGCCCAATGGCACTCATCTCAGAGGGTTGGATCGGGAATCTGAGGCCTGTGCTAAAAGCTTCGGTTTCTTTAGCGCCTGTTCTTTGTACTTCTTGTCACACTTGTGGTTGCAGATACGGTGCGTGCTCCATTCTATGTATTGCGTGAGTCGCTTCGCTTCGCGGCTTCTTCTAGACTCAGCTGTCCATTTGGAGAGCGAACATTGCATCCGCTTGCCATCGCCACGGTTTGGGGATCTGCTGTGGGAGCTTCATCCCAGGTAGGTCAGGAGACATGTGCGAGCCTCGCCTTGCCTTGCCCGACTGAGGGATAAGCTCGTTGCGCAAAGCATGACCTTATGCTGTAGACTCCAAACTCGAAGTCTTGAAGCGCGCATCCCAAAACTGAACACTAAACATCAACCTTGCTGCAGGCCGTCGCTCCCAACCGAAACCCGCTGTTGCTGCATCCTCTGTATTGTGACGGGTCTCCATATTGAAACACAGGCAATTCCAGGATAATGACCAACCACAGATTGGGTGAGCGGTCGGGGTTGGTCTACGGCTACGGATTGTACTGCGTTGTAGGCGACGTTTGGTGTGCGTTCCTTTTCTGACCAGGTGTCGAGAAATGTGCCTAGTCGAGATCTCGAGGGCAGAATAACCCCTGAACCACATGCCCAAGCTTTGTGCCCAAAACATCCGCACCTCTAGTCGAATATCTGCCGGCAAACATTCCACGGCCCATGCACTTACAGTACCATTCCCGGGATTGGCACTCCTTTCACTTCCTGAGGTTGGCTCTCTCTTTTCGGTGCGCCGCGGCTTGCTTCTGCCGTCTTCAGGATGTTTGCTGCTGATTGGTCGTTGCATTCTACTTCGCGTAATGTGAACGGAATGAGGCAGTCGTGAGATCCTTTACTCGCTTTTTGCTGCCACGGCCGACCAGAAGCTGCAGAACTGCAGCAGGACTTTCTAAAGAAGTGCCCTCGAATTCCACAGAAACTCTCAGCCGAAGCCGCAAATAGCTGAGCGAGCCGCCAGCAGCCGAGCGCGATTTCATGCAGCGCAAGCTGCTTGGGGATCCCAACTGAATCATGAGTCGAGGATCTCTATCTCAAGACTGCCAGAAATCTCAAGCTCACAAGTACGCCAGGGAAATGGCTCCCTCTTCCCGCAGTCATCGAGGCCCTGTGGAAGATTGAAATATATAGGTTCGAGCGCATCGCTGTTTTTTTCGGGCTTCTCCGAAGGACGCAGCTCGAGGCAAGCTGGGATCACCTCTTTCAGTCCAGAGGCCCTAGAGTCCTAGAGCCCAGGGCAAGGCTGGCTCAGTCATTCCCGGGCTTTGGCTGGAAGCGAGGCCATGGACATCTTCTTAGAGGCCGGCCTTCGAGGCGTGCTCGCACGGAGCCCAGCGGAGAGATGTTTTGGGCCTGCGGTTTCGAGGGTCGGGAGGCTACTCGTGACCAGGGTCTAGAGGGTCATGATTGTCACAACATTATGCACTTGGATCCAAAAGTCAATTGCCTGCCAGGGATGGTTCAGGAATTTTCTTGCTGAAGCTCTAGTCTTCAGAAGCTTCAGAGCGTCAGCGAAGCTCGAGTCTTCAGAACTTGCTTGCATTGAAGGCGAAGGCTGGCAGCAGGTGTTTTTGTGTCTAGAGAGAAAGGGCAAGGCCTGATACTTTGCCGGCAAGCCCAGTCCGAGGATCACGCTGTTTGTGTCTTGATTGCTGTGTCGTGGGTTGGAGATCGCTTGACACTTTATGCCTTGGAAGTGCGGAAAGCGAGGCCGTGACCCTGGCACTCTTCCAGCTGCAAAAGAGGCCAACTTCCCCATGTCCAAAGATGTGGAAGTCTGTGTGGAGGTTACTTCATGGTACCATCCGACTTTTCGGCAAAGTGCAGGGCCCCGAAGAACGAGGCTTCAGTCACCCCGCTGGGGTTTGCAAATCCCTGTGGTGACAGAAAATGGTCAGGGGCAGACTGTGCCGTAGCAAGAAACAGATGTCCGTCAGATGGTCCGATGGAGTTCTACATCGATTCTACATCTCTCCACATCTCTCCACATCTCTGCCTATCTCCGCACCAGCTTCTCGTAGGTGCAGCTGCCCTCACTCGTGTAGGGTGGTGTGCAAGTGGGTCATTTTCTCATCAACATGATCAATGACCTGAGTGTGGACTTCTGTTTGCTCTTGCGGGTATTGGTGCTTCAGGCGTCTTATGGCCGCACGTGGCATGGAGGCTGTGCCGCGCACCAAGTAGCAGTGCTCCGTCACTTCGCATTATTTTGCATTTGTTCTGCGAAATCCTTGAGAAGAGTTTGGGGCAGTGTTGGTTCTTCCAAGAAACAGACTCAAGTTGCCGCCCTTGCCGAAGTCTGCGGTGAGGTTGAGGGGTGCAGTGAGGTGTGTGTGGCTTCGGAGTATCAGATCATCGAGAGCTTGACGAGAGGGTTGGTGCAGGCTCAGGGTCAAATGAGTCGTTTAGTGTCGTTTATATCTGTGTTCATTCAGAAATTTCTGACTTCATGTTGGTATTGCCTACTGATTGCCGGCACTATTGCTGTTCTTACGGCGAGCGACAACATGCGAGGACGACGGCAACAACAGTGTTCTGGCGACGGTACTTGCAGCTGTAGCTTTTGCTGCTGTTAAAGGTTTAGCTAGCCTTCTAAAAAAGTTGAGGACGAAAAAAAGCTAGTTGGTATGATGTTGAAGAAAAAGAAGATGATGAGCAGCAGGATGATGATGATGATGCTGCTGACGACGATGCTGATGGTGATGGCAATTACGATGCTTGCGTAGACGACCGCTTGTTGTAACAGTTGGATGAAGATTACTTGTACTCGCACCATCAGTGTTGCTATTGGGTTATTGATTCAGTCATTGCTATTCTTAGGTCGACGATTCTTTCTTAGGATTGTTGTTGCCATTGTTGATACTGCTGTTTGCAGCTGGTCCGCAGTACCATTATCATCAGAACAACTGTCCGTGCTACCATGATCTGTGACAGCCTTCTTGTCAGTTCGATTGTTTCCTCCTTCGACGTAGTGCCCTGAATGCAAGCCTTTGCCCAGGTTGGAGCTGGTGAATCAGGACCACGGGCATGCCGGCTCTGCAGACTCCGTCGTTGTGAAACATGAGAATTGGCACACAAACAAACAGATGAATATGCACAAACATGCTCAAAGCGAGATGTTTGATGTCTAAGACGAGATAGGAATTGAATAGATATTGGCATCATCGGAGAAAACTTGGGACGATCCGGACAGTAGAACCAGAGGCTTCACAACCCCAAACTCTCCATCTCCTTCGATATTTATGCCAGTTGTGCCCTACCGAATTATGATTCGCCTCACCAAGAGCGATTGGCAAGTCTGCATTCTGGACAGGCTGTTCGAAGTTGTTCAACCTGCGCTTGGTGTGTAGCAAATTCCGGACTCGAGGGCCACTCCTCTCTGTAGAGCGAATTAGAAGCTACACTTGCGGCACGTCCGTCGACGCACGGTGCCCTCGTTATTTAGGTGTTTCGCGATTCGGAATGAAGGTTTTTGCAGTCGGATTTTTGTTGGATGCATCGTTACGCGTGCCCCGGCACATATTCATGCACCAGCAAGCATGTGTCATGTGTTGATAGGATTCGCACGAAGCTTCAAAGTCCTGCCGCCATGTTGCGCACAACAAAGCCCATGCTTCAACTGGGCCCAGATATTTACTGCAGATGTGGTTTCTTTAATTAGTTTCTTCGAGATTCCAGATCTTGGCTGCAGGTCGGCTTTCGTTGATCTGACAGGAAGAACGAACCTTCCAAGTCCCCAAAAGCACGTGCCTTGAGCTTCCTTGGGAGGAGATGCGGACGTCACCGATCGACGGGGAGCTCCTGGTGAAAACTGCCAGGCTTTGGTCGGCAGCTCAACCGCTCAGGATGCATCATTTAATTAGGGCTTAGCTTTTGGGATCAGGCTTCCGGCATATAACCAGAAAGGACGCTGAGTGCATGGGCAGAGTCCAGTGTATCCATGCAGCAGATGCAGGTTTGTGGTTTACCAACCGTGACGTTTTCGGTGGCAGTTTCTGCGAATGTTTGGTGCAGAACTGAAGCGAAATTTTCTTGACACGGCCAGAGCCTCGGCAAAGGTAGCTTCAGCGTTTCCCTCCTCGAGGCAATTGTTTGAACACGGCATGTTGATAATTCAGCCACTCAAAGCTTGATCTACAAATCCTCATACTACTTTCTGATGTCGCGGTGCGAACACAGCGAAACCGCAAGCCCCCACTCGTTCCTAGGCTTCCCCGTGTGGACAACATTATCCAGGAAGCATGCGTTCCGCCAACGTAGCGGACAGACAGCAGGTCAGCGCTTGGGGAGCAGCATTCGTTCACGGTCTAACAGCGGTGGATTGGCGAGAATTGAAGGTCTAGTTTCGAAGAAGCCAGAAAGGCGCCTGTGAGCTGATGCGTCCATGCAGTATATGTCAACTTGTTCAATTGTCATATCTTGGCCGGCATCTTGTAGGAAGAAAGCTGGATTTAAGTAGATTGTAGATGTGATCATTTAGGTGGCGGAAGACCCCTTCCAAATACTCAGCGAATCTGTTTGCCCAGCGCCATGCTGAGCCGTCGCCTGTCAATCGCAGAATTTGTCGTGTTTGTGCATCATCAGCCTCATCAGCCCAACTCCTAGCACAATCCATTCTTTGTCTGACTGAGCTCGTCGAAGGTTCACCATTGTTTGCGGGAGTGGTGTCTCGTGCAAATAGCTGTTTGAGATGACATTGGGCAGCACGACTTACATCCACTGCTGCCATCCGCTACGACAAACTACGGTGCTGGGAGAAACCAGCTCCTTGTGAAGGGTCCGTGAGAACTTGGTATCAGTTTACTTGCCTTCTGAACAAGATTCAGCCGAAGGACTGCGCACCAGCCGAAGTGTCAGCGGCTGTCTCCTCAAGGTGTCTTCCCGGAAATTTTTTCGGACAGAATTCAGCCGTATTGAACCATTGGATCTATTCCATACTGCTAGGTGCATTGAGCAATTTCAACCGATAGTACAGCTACCAACATCTACTTGACGAGAAGTGTGTTGGCGTGCAGTAGCACTTGGCCTTTAGCTTAAGCTTGAAACTTTGGTTGGAATCAGCTGCCCATGTCTTTTCAGAAGGGAACAGTTGTTTGGGCTGCATGAGATACAGACTCATTCAGCAGTCGGGCAGCTGTGGCACCCACCCTGTAGCAAGGGCTTCCTTTTGTGCAGGGCCATGCAGCTGCATCTAGGCTCAAACCGGACAGTCAGCTTGAAGCAAATCGAGCTCAGCTGACGCCAGCGGGATCCAGCCTCCCCTTCGACGATCGGCAATGGCGAGGAATGCCGTTCGAAGGATTTCTTTTGTGGACCTCCCAGAGAATGTCATTCTGAAAATTCAGGTTGCTGCAGGCGACCCTTCTGCGGTGTACGGTGTCGAGGCTCCGCGGTGCTGCGTGCGCACGCGTGCAGGGGTCTCTGTCTCTGTGTGTGTGTGCGCGCGAGGGGGGCTGAGTGCCAAAATTCGGCAGTTTGGGATTCAGGATATCGGGTGCAATAACTGTAAATGGCTGTAAACTTACCCAAGCTGCAAAAGGCTTGTCGTGCCAGTGTCGGTGCTATGATCCAATTGCTGCAAGGCTCTGGCATGCTCCGCGACGAGAACGACCGAAGCCGCCTGGGGAGGGGTATTGGAAGCCTTCTTCCCTTCGTTGTTCCTCAGGCTTTGCGCAGCCAGGTTGCTGCAAAGTACGTTTTGCTTCTTGCTGCGAGCGCAAAATTTTAAACCAAGAATGGGCGTTCGTCTAGGGCCGTCTCGGACCATTTCCCTCTCAGGCAGAGGACTTCGCCGGAAGCTACAAGCAGGTCTTCACCCGCCGTGCGCGGAGAGCCGAGGAATGGCGGCGCCGGAAGCAGAAACCGCGCTCCGACAGCTTCGAGGAGGCCACTCCGTGGCTTGCAGCCTTCGTTGGGATTCTAGCTGCTTCTGGCTGTTCTAGCGGGCTGAACTAGAAGGAAAGTTCGGGCTGCTCGGGAGAGGTGCATTGGCCATGTGAAGCTGTGCCGCAGGTCAAACTAGCTCCTGTTCCGACGCCTACCAAGCAGAAGCCGCACAACAAGTTCCTGGGACATCAAAACCATGGTATTTTTTTGGTCTTTTGGGAAAGGTGCGTAAAAATCACATTCCGTGCGAAAGGAGCGTAAATTAGCGTAATTGCGCATACAGCCTGGAAAACGTGCTTGCCTGGCATCGGCCTGTTGTCTCTCTGCGCAGCCAGAATACAACAAATTCCACAGCAACCAGAGCAAAAGACCATAAATAAGCGTATGAAAAGCGTAAACAGACCATAAACAAACGTAAATTCAGACGTGCATGCTTGTATGTCACTACACGAATCGCGGATCTACAACGGGCAATCAAATCTGCCCAGAAGAAACCCTGTAAAACCGTAAAGAGCGTAAAAATGCAGGCTCCGAGCATAAGAGCGTCAAAAAGGGTAAAAACAGAAAGGAGCGTAAAATTACCTGAAACGGTGATAAACGGTGATCCAGGTTGCTATACGCGGACAATCGCCAGGGACATTTGGCCGACAGCACGCTTGGACTTAAGGTTTGCGGCCGTTGTGGGGAGAAATACACTGCATCGGCGAATCGAACCAGTATGAGCTGTCATTACCACGAAGGGACGCTTGTTCCTTTCGGGCCGGAGGCGAGTGCATTGACCCGGAGCGAGCGACAGCAGATCGCAAAGTGTGGCAAGTTCGCGCTTCGCAAGTGTGGCGGAGTTGCAGGCCGCAAGTCTCGGCAAGGGGGCCGAGGCCACTGGACGAAAGGCTTGGGTCTCCCAGCAGTCGTCGCAGGCAAGGTTATGGTGTGGGAGGATGTTTGTGTTGGTCCTGGTGAAGTTCTGTGTGCTTGGCCCGCGACTCAGTCACTTCTCTTCGTTGGCCCACGGCTGTTTGCTTCATGTTGCTTGCCTGGCCCTAGCCCTAGCCCTAGCCCTTGCCTTGGCTACCTCATACGTAGTGTTGCAGTAGCAGCGTGATGATGCAGCCTGCATGCATGTCTATGCGCGAGCTGCGTGTTGATTTTCCAGGTCTACCAAATTCGAAACTTGCCAAGTTGGAAGTTGCCTTGTACATTTTCCGCACTCACTTGGATTGAATTTGGTGGCCGAGGTCGTGTTGCTCACGGCTTGGCCTGTTTGCCGAGGGTTGCACCGTTGGCATTCACAGGCGGGAGCGGTCCACAAGGAAGGCATCTTGACATGCGTAGTATTCCAGAAGTCTTGGGAAGGCCAGGATCCTGGACTAACACGTCTAACAGGGGTTCATGACAGCACTTGGCCAGGTTAGCCTGTCATCGTGGCACTCTAAAATGAACATGCTCCGTGACAGGCCCTCCTGATGCATGCACGCACCCAGCGAGCCTTGAGCTTTGTACATACTTCCAGCTCCTTCGGCTAGCGAGCGAAAATTGATTTGCAATATGACGGTGATGGCACACTTCCTCATGGAGCTGCAGGTTTATGAATTCCCAAGCGGCTACCATTGCCATCGGCCCTTCATGCGAAATATTCCTGACAGGGGACATTTTGTGGGCCCCGAGGAAAATTGTACCGGCCCATAGCAGGTCTGATATTGTTTGTGCTCGAAATTCAATAGGATGATGTCCACAAGCTGCAAAGCAGTTCCACGAAGAACGTTGCAGCGTCGCTCATGGGCGAGCACCGCTTATGGCAAAAGGATGCAATAACATGGCCAAGCTGTTGTCCGCCAATTCAAACGCATTGTGTTCAGGAATGCCGCAAGTTTCAATGCAGTGCTCGGTAAGCGTGACTCATAGGTTTGAGCCCGCTGCTACTTTGGTTCCTGCTCATCTCCCTGAACCCCAAGAGACGGAAGCGTCGCTGCTGGCGACTACGAAACTGGACACTTGTATTCCGCAAGGCGTCGAGCCGGCGGACTTCCGGCCCAACCCGGGCTGGTCCAGGGATGTCGCGCAGAAAGGGGAGAAATGTAGAGTCTCGTGTTAGACTGAGGCTTGTCAGGGAGAGTTTGTGATTCTTGAGGTAGGGTTTCAGGTTTTGCAGGTTCAGCTGCCTGGGCCATGTTTGAGCGTGCCTTTCAGAGATCTGCCTGGCGACTTCAATCCCTTCCTGTTCGACTCAGTTCAGGTGCCATGACTGCTTCATGCCAGCTTTCTCTCAAGCTTCCCATGAAGCACGAATGCCAGCCCCATGGAAGCCGCTTTGAAAGAACCTGCACGACCCTGATCAACACCGGGCTGACAGTTCTTGAGCATTCACGCTTGGAAGTCCCTAAACCCCTCGGCAGTCGACCCAAGCAACAAACAGCCTTGATGCGGTTAGGAGCGTAATGGTTTGGATCCTCAACTCTCTAGCAGCTAGCATTTCTTCAGACTGAAGGTTCGCAACACCGCTTGCCGCCGTCTTGGCACATGAAAGTCGAATTAGATATTCAATCTCAAAAACTGGCTCGACTTCTCTGCGCCACGAGAGCAAGGGTTGATGGCTGCGGTTGCGCCGGCTTGATCCAGGTCATTGGCACGGGAAATCCTGACAGTCGTCAACTTGATCCTATGGATACAAGATGCGCCGCGCAGATAGCTTTTCGCTAAGAGCTTGAGTCGAGCCTTGCAGGATCTAGCTTGAGAGGCTTCCCATTTTTTCCCTTTGAAGCAGGGGCGGTCAGAGTTCAAGGCGAACGTGGGCAATGCTCACTAAGAAGGCGAATTTACCGATATGCGTTTTGAGGCTGGAGTGTTGCACGGCCTTTCACGGCCTTGCACGGCCTTGCTACATGCCGTCACAGGCTGCTTTATTGGAAGCCGAGGCTTGAAGTTTGCAAGGTGAACAGGGGAGGACAAACAGGGCGCAGCAGGAATGCGAGAACTCTGATCACTTCCTGGTGACAGGCCCCGAAGAGCCATGGCTGAGGATGAGGTCGACTCCTTGCCTTGGGATTCTGGGGTGCCTTTTGATTCCGGGCCGTGTGGCTGTCCCGCGAGGTGACAGCCCTCCGTGAGCAGGTGGAATCCCTGCTCAAGGTCGGGGCAGGGTTGCATTGGGACATTTGTGTACACAGCCGCGGTCGTAAAGATATCGCCGGATTAATACCAGTCCGTGAGCGAAATTCTAGCCGGTGACCCTACCACACCAGGAGTCGGACTTAAAATCCAACATGGATTCCCACCGAAGACAGGCACTCGCACCTGCTGGAAAGCCCAGTCTCGAGGAGCGCACGGAATGGCTGGCAGAGCGCGAGCGCATGCGCTCGGAGCCTAGCATGGGCACGAGGTTCTCATCTTAAAGCCCCTTGTACTGCAAGTTTCTGCAGGCCTTGTGCCTGCAGCCACAATCTCGGACTCCAACAAACCTCAGCTTTATAAGAGTCTTTTGATGGTTCAGTGGACACCCAAAGCCTTAAAGCTTACAGTTAAGCCACTCTGACAACTCTTGCGCCGCACCTCTTGTGTGCCGAGCCTACTCAGAATCCAGAGCTTCACTCGCTCAGGCGAGGAGATTGAGGTGCTACAGAGTCGGCTTCAGAAGTTGTCACAGGCTCCTCCGGAGGCACGGCGGCCTTGGCATGTCGTAACTTGGGGTCATCCTAGTTCAGCATGCCGAGGATGATCTTTGGCTCCTTGGCCTAGGCCTTGAGCATTCGAAGCTGAGGTTCCTTCGGCTTGAAGGGGCGAAACTCGTAAACTATGCTTCAGTGCGGCCTCCGCGGTCCCTACCCATGCGACATCAGCATCACGAGCAGCAGGCGTGTGTCTTGTAGCCTCTGCAGTCGGAGCCGAAGCCACAATGAAACCACCCGAAACCCAATCCGACGCCACTCAGGAAAGTCACCTCTGATGTTACCACTCCTTCACTATCAAGAAACCCCAAGTTTCACAGGAACCTGGAAGCTCGGCCCAACTTGCCAATGTGCTGCGATGCAGGTGGCTGCGGAAGCTGCTGTACCTGCGGAGGCAGAACATGGGCTGTGTGTGGAACAAATGGCTGACGCGCAGGGACGGACATGTGAGGCCTTTTCGTGAACCGTCGTGTCGGCAGTCTACCATCAGAATTGCACATTGCAAAGCCGTGTCACAGTTCAACACTCTCTGGGATTTCTGTTTGTTTCTGGCACGCGGGGTTGTTGGGTGGACAGCGGTCGAAACTGTAATCTGACACTTCGGAGCCCCCACCCAGGAAGGGATTTGATGTCAGTTCGCCATTGGGTAGCTGTTGCAAGGATTGCTTGCCTGTAGCGGGTTAACCTCAGACGGTGAGGATTTAGACTATTTCTCAGCTTCTGCCCAGCGTTTCAGCACTCCATGTTTTGCACACGTGTCAACATAGATGCATAAAGTGAAAATGAGTATGCATATTCAGGTTAATGAAATTAAGTATGCATATCAATACTAGTACTACGGCTAGTTAAAATACTTGCATTATCTGCAATATTATCTGTCATGTTTTGCACATGAAAAGAATTACATCGGAATGGACTGTAGGCGTAGATCAAGATGTATATGTGTATGGATATAGGTATATGTGTGATAGATAGATAGATAGATAGATAGATAGATAGATGCATAACTCAGCAGATACAGTAGTAAGTACAGAATTAAGTAGACAAAGGGATAGAGAAACGAATCAACATGCAAAGAAACATAACTAAGCAAACCAATACATAGATACATACATACGTAAATATAGGTATACACGTGTGCTTATATAGATATATATCTATATATAAGCATGCATGCATACATACTTACATACATGCACACATGCGTATATATATATATATGAATATATACATACATATATATATATATATGTGGGTGTGTGTGTGTGTGTGTCTGTGTTTGTACCTGCGTCTGCGTGTCTCCGCGTGTGTCTGTGCGCGTGTATTTTTCGGTTCTGCATGTCTTTGTGTCTCTGGTTTGTCGGTGTGCGCACAGTCTCTCTTTCTCTCTCTTTCCGTGTCTCTGCGTGTGTGTGTGTGTGTGTGTGTGTCTGTGTCTGTGCATCTCTATGTGTCTGTCTCGGTGTGTATCTGTATGTTTCTCTCTGCCTCTTTGTGTGTGTGTGTGTCCCTGTGTGTGTGTGTCTCTGTGTGTGCGTGTGTCTATGTGTTTGTCTCCGTTTGTGTCGCTGTGTGTGTGTGTGTGTGCGTGTATGTGTGTTTGTTTGTCTTTCTCTGACTGTCCGCGTGTAGGTTTGATTGTTTCTATGTTTGTGTGTCTCTGTATGTCTCTGTGTCCCTCTGTGTGTGTGTGTGTGCGCATCGCTTGTCTTCTATCTGAAAGTCCGAGTGTCCTCTTGGAATTCCGTTGCTTGCGGGGCCCTCGTTGTGGGAGGCGGCCCGGTAACTTGGAGTGTTCCGGGATAGCTTCATACACCGAAACACCATGCCACTATGCCAAGCTCGAAACACACAAGGACTGGTGGGAAGCCTTCCACCCCAACCGAAAGAACGTGCTTGACGGAGCCCAAAACGCGTCATGATGTGAGCAGCAGCTGCAGCGGTAGCAGCAAGCACAGCAACAACTCTGTGCCCATTCTGTGGTAAGCGCAGTTTTCGAAACTTACCCGAGAGGTGTCCGGGGACATCGTGGATGAGATGCTTCGATCTCCGAAGGACGGCGGTCTTGGCGGTTTTATGTTGGAGTCGTTGGAGGTTACGTCGACGGCCCAGGAAGGTCGACTTCGAGAGGTGTGGTCCCAAGGTGCATTCGGGAAGTGATTATAGAAATCGGAGCTTCCCGCCCGCTGGAACCATGTAAGAATACGTGATACTATGTAGTGTATCGAAAACAGCAGGACGAGGCATTGCAACTACGTGGCATCGAGACCCTCTTCGCGCAACAGACGCAGGCAGAGCGGGCCTTCCAGGTCCAGGTCAGGTCTTGTCGCAGGTTGGTTTAGGGTTCAGGAGCTCTTGCGTAATCGGATCGGGGCCAACTTTGTGTTACCCTGAAACCCCTGCATCAGCCCGAAGTCAAAGCCACCACTCCCCGACCTGAAAGCCGAAGACCCCTCGCTGGCTTCTCGAGGCCGGTGCAGCCAGCGAGGACGCATCGCCGGCGATGAGGCGAAGCCTTGAGGCCGCGGGTGCGGGCCGTGGTAATGCCTTGGAGAAGGATTGGGGTCATGATCTGCTAAGCCGCTAAGCCGAGAGTTGAGGGTAATCTGCTCAATACCGCAGGAACTGAAGTTGGGCCATTGGGGGACAGGCAGTCAAGAGTTGGGAAGCGATGGGTTTGTACTGGTACTTCCCTCATCCACTGGCGCCCCAGGACTCGGCAAGAGAGCCGAGAAATGTAGCAGCGGGAAGTGCCTAAGAAGCCCAGACTGCAATCTGCAGATGTGAG